GGGGTTGGGGGGGGGGGGTGTGGGCCTTCTGAACAACCGAATGGGCTAATCCAAGCTTGATACGCTAAAGCCGATTGAACCATTCGCTGCACAACGTGATCCGCGTCGACCGTCTAGCTCAATGGTTTGGGGGTGTGATGTCCCGACCCGAGAATGTTGGCGGTTCGAGTCCTGACACACTAGTGATAAATCGCAAACAGGAGAAAACAGCTGCTCAGTGCTCTTTACGCTGGTTAGCATAAATATTTCCATCGCATTTCAGCTTTCTTCGCCTGCAGTTTCAACTGTGTTGTCATTTTACACACTCAAATTTAAACACCCCCAAATGGCAAACATTCAGTTTTGGTCGGGGTGTAACTGGCGGCATATTTATTGGAAGCACAGTTTACCCGTAACGAATTTCAATAGAGCAGCCAAAAACACAGATTTGCACCATGTATCCTGGATCATTTCGCTGCGTCTGTACACGTGCATACTGCAGTCTATGTGATCATTAATGTATGGTCAGTAAATAGCAGCATCATTTACAACCGTCCGAATGCCAATAACATCGGTGAAAGAACCGCTGTCTCCTCACACCAAATCTAATTGTATCTATCAGTTCAAATGTGCGTGATGCTTGATCACCTACATTGGTAGAACGGAGAGACAACTGCGTTATCGAGTAACCGAGCCCAACTCGGTCTGGTTTCAGAAAACAATAAGTGAGAACTTCGGAAGTATGAGTTTCCTACGCGTCGTAGGAAACTCAGTTCGTCGATCGAAATGAAGCACTGTGTCATGTTGCGCGACACGTTCAGAATCCTCTACAACACAAACACCACCAGGGTTCTGAAATACACCGAGGCACTAGCCATTCAAAATTACCATCCCAAACTGTGTAAACAGGACGCGAACGGCTTATCACTCCGGGCTCTACCTTGGTAACCAGTGTGTTTGGTGAGTACTGGTGAGTACCGCAATGTTTCTTCGCCTATGATTCTGTTATTTATTGACCATAGATCAGTGATCACATAGACTGCCGGATGTATACGTGTACGGATGCAGCGAAATGATAATAATCCAGGACTAATTATTGTGCTAACCAGTAGAACTCACTGTCCACTTGAGGTAGTCGTTTTGTGTATCAAACAATAGTGTTTCATTTCAAATCAAATCGCTTCCTGCTGACTCATGAAGTAAGGTCGACAGAGAAGACAATTGGTTCGTTCTTGTTAGAACTCACCGGCAGTGTATACTCTTATTGCGTCTCGGAAGGACCGCGAACGGTGAGTCGAACTGCTTAGCTTTAAGCTGTTAAATCAAATCACAACACAGACCTTGATGGAAACGATCTGCCCCATGTCCTTGGGCCTAATACACTGCTATTTGCGGATGACGCTAAGATCTGGAGAACTGTAACACATCCTGAGGATTATACAGCACGCCAACAAACGATCGACGCAACCCACCGATGGTCAATCGCCAACGACATAGAATTCGACGTTTCCAAACACAGAGTTATTTCCATGCGGCATAAGACTCGTTTCTCCTATGTTCTGGGGAACCAAATACTACCGCATGCCACTGATGAAAGGGCTTTGGGAGTTATGGTACAGGAGGACGTAGGATGTTCCACGCGCTGAGCCAGAGCATCACCCATGGCTCTAAAGCAAGTTGGACTACTCAGACATTTTTTCGGGCAGTTCGGAAGAGCACTGTTCCCACGCTTGCTATCGGCGTTGATTCGGCCATACACAGAGTACGCTGTTCAAGTATGGAATCCATGGTTAAACCGCGACAAGAAGGCTCTAGAGCGTCCGCAAAGGCTGCCAACGAAATTGGTAAAAGGTCTGTATAACAAGACATACTCCGAAAGACTGCGACTATTGGGACTCTACTCATCTTAATACCGCCGAATTCGTTCTGTGCTGACTTTACCTCAAAATGATCGCCTCAGGGTGCATCCACCAAGAACAGCCACCTTGATTGCCGGCATCACTCGTTTGCAGGCAGAGTGTGCGGTGTGTGGAATTCTCTTCCATCTGATGTAGTGTATGCTCCCACAGTTGAATTATTTAGATCGCAACTTAATGAAGCACTGGAACACTTAAAATTTCAACACCCGTGAGTTAACATGCATATTTTTGTCATTATTGTTTTCTCTTTGTAAAATTATTCAAAAAATTCTGTAAAAATGCTATGGGGTTTTGGCTTTCGCTTTGTTAAATCGCCCATAATAAAACTTTGACTTTGACTGTGCAGTTTCGGATGGGCTAAACCAATTAACACTGTTCTTCTTTTTCGTTTCAAAGATGCAATTTTCAGGCATGTGTTGGCTGTTAGTCAGCACGTGCGTAATCACTCCTATTCCCATGGGGGCCACGATGACCAAACATGCTTACCCATCACCTGGGTGATTGATAACAAGTGAAAACCGAAAAGAAAAACACCAGCGAGAGAGAGAGAGAGAGGATCGAGGTGACCACGCCAATCGGACAGAACAATCACACGTTCGGAGGATTTCAAGAGGGCCAAAACAGTTTGGCGAAAACTTTTTTTTCGGTGACTCATCAACTGGTTAATACGTCACACTTTATATCACATCATTTTGTATAGAAAAGAGGAAACAAAACTAATGATTATTCAAGTGGGAGTTGTTGTTATTGTTTTCTGTCCCAATTTCACAAAATCGGATATGGCTGATCTTGCCATCGGAACTAAAGCTTGGTTCGTGTTGATTGTGCGATTTAGGGTGGGATGGGGAGGTAGGGGGGGGGGGAGCATGAAGATGGGAGGTGGAGG